TGGGATAACTTCTTTCCTGTTTCTACCCTCAGCAGGAAGGGATCCTTCCCCCCAAACACGTCAGCTGAAGCACCAAAGATCACTGGTGTCACAGAAGCCACATGCAGACTCAGATGGAGTCACTTGCTGGAGTTTGGGAGCCGAGCTGCCTGCAGCCTCTAGCTATCAGAGGACAGGGGATAAGGCAGCAACCAGCCTTGTGCAGGGCTTCTGAAGGAAAGCATAGTCTCCTCTAGATATCAACCAGATTATAAGGACTTCCATTAGAGTAACCTCTGAGCAACTCTATGTGAACATGGAATGAGAATAATTTACAAATGCTGGTGTTGGCCTTTGGGATAGGACGCACCACCCCTGAGCAGATCTCATGTGAAACAAAAATGTAGGGCATCATACAAGACACTTTAGGCAACTGTAAATAAATAAGAATTTGGATGAATCCAGACAGACTCTATGGGGAAGGCTTCTTTTCTCAGAGACTGACCTTTAAAGACACTCAAATTAATTGGATATTAAATTGTACACCAGTATTTCCCAAAGTTCGCCCATTAGTGTATAGCTGACATGATTTTTCACCATAACTATTTATCACTTGTACTATTTAATTAGCATTTCTTCCAATAAAGCCCTTAAAAATTGGTTTAGCCTCACTCTATAATTTATATTTCTAATTCACATAAACCAATACATAATTATCAAAAGAAAAAGTGTCCACTCTGTACCACCTAAAACGCTATCTCCCTTTGGGGTATACTTTTGTTTATCATTGTCTTTATGGATAGAAGGTCACTTCCAACTAATTTCAACAAGTCATTTTCATAAAGTTGGCACCACATTGTGCTGTTCCCGCGTGAGGCAGATAAGTTCCTGGCTTCTGGACGGCCGCTCACTGCGGCTGCTGGCCGCTCACTCTGGCTGCTGGCTGCTGGCTACACACAGTAGCCCATGGCAACCCACTGTAGCAGAGGCTGCAGCCTACGCCATGGCCAGCGACTCACGGCAGCCCAGCTCCAGGTTGGGCTGTTGTTCAGCATCTTATCTGTAGAGGGCAGTGTCACTGGCCCTTATATGTGGGATCTGAACCGGGGCCCTCTGGTGTCCCAAGCCAGCTCTTAACCATCGCGCCACTCGGCCGGCCCTCTCTTGCTCTTTCTGCACAAGTCACCCTGGGCACCTTTTCTTCCTTCAACGCACCCAGCATGCTCTTGCCTGGGAAGCTTAATGTTTGCTGCTCATTTTTCCTGGAATGCTTTTTCCCCAGGCATAAGCATGATGTACGCTTTCTTCCCACTACCATCAGGTGTATATTGAGATACCATCATATCAGAGAGGACCTCTTTGATTATACTATACAAAATAAGCTTCTCTCACCTCTTATTTTGCTTTCTTCTTTTTTAAAATCACTTATAAAACCTAATAAATTATATTTAATTTAATTTTTTGTTTGTCTTCCTCCATTTAGAATGGAAGCATCATGAAAAGAAGGACTTTGTCTTATTCACCATTCTATCTTCAGGACTTAAGGAGTGCCTGGCAAATAATGGGCACTTAATAAGTACATGAATAAATACAGGGTTGACTCAATACTAACTGACCATTACAGTAGAGATTCTGATGCCCAGAAAGAGCAAAATCGGGTACGAAGTACCACTCCCCCAGCCCCCACTCACTCCTCCACCTCACAGTTATGGACATGTCTCGTGTTACGTGGGTAGCATTCTTATCAATCAGCACATTTATTCATTATTATATAAGGTGATGCAAAGCAATGTAGTGAAATAAAAGGAGTTTGAACTCTAGGTGGAATAGGACAACTCCCTATTTAAAAAAAAATTAATTCAAGGCCAAAATTATAAAGGATCAGTCAACTCAAGAGATGTAAGTGGTAGAATGATTGGAGAAAGCTTCTTGAAAAATATGGACCCTGACTTGGGCCCTGAAGGAGGGTGTTCCAGCGATGTTTGCTATATAACAACACCAAACATAGTGGCTTAAAAACAGCTGTTTTATTATGGCTGATGGTTTCATGGGTCAGGAATTTGGGCGGAGCTGGGCCGGCTGATGCTTCTGTTCCGTTCAGCATTGATGGGGTTTTCTCCATGGTATTCAGCTAGCATTTGGAGTCTAAGGCTGATTCACTTGTGTAACTGGTGCCTTCGAGGGAATGGCTGGAGGGAGGAATCCAGCTGGAACTGTGCCTGAAGCACCTTCACATGGTCTCTCCTGGTTGGTGGCTTCAGGGTTTCCAGACTTCTTACATGCTGACTCAGGCAGGGTTCTGTGAAAAACAAGACAACAGGCCCCAAATGTCATTACTTATGCTAAGCCCCGTGTCACCAAATCGAGAGTTATTATGGTTTTGACTGTCCCAGAAATGGAATCTTAGATCAGTAAGTCAGAAATCGTCTGATAAGCACTAGTTGGCCTGATATACTCGTACCATCCCTATAGGAAAGTAACCTTGCAATAACTAATCCGTTTTTTTTGTTTGTTTGTTTGTTTGTTTGTTTGTTTTTAAAATTGGGAACAGTGTGTTTTTCCAGGACCCATCAGCTCCAAGTCAAGTAGTTGTTTCAATCTAGTTGCAGAGGATGCAGCTCAGTGGCCCATGCAGGGATTGAACTGGCAACCTTGGTGGTATGAGCACTGTGCTCTAACCAACTGAGGTAACTGGCTGCCCACCCCCAACCCGCTTTTTTACCTGGTATAACTTTCTTGTTTCCACTCCTTTCTGCCTATAAAAGCCTTTCATTCTGTATGGGTTCTCAGAGCTCCTTTCTATCTGCTAAAAATGGATGCTATCTGAGTCATGAATCATTGAATAAAACAAATGAGATCTTTAAAAGGTAATCTGCTGAATTTTGTTTTTTAGCAGTTCCAAGAACCAGTGTTCCAGGAAGCATGGAAGCCGCATGGCCTTGTGTGAAATCACGTGGCGTCGCTTCTACAGTCCCAGTTGTCAGGCCCAAGCAGTCACAAGCCTGCCTAGATTCAAGGGGAGATGATGTAGACCTCCACTTTTCCACGGATGGAGTGTCAATGAATGTGCAGCCATGTTTTCAAACTGCCTCAGTGAGGTATGATTCAGTTAAGAGGGGAGTAGTTGGGAAAGAGTTCTGGGTGAGAGTAAACATTTGAGCAGGGGTGGGGCAGGGCAGGTACAATTAGGAACCACGAAGAGACCCGGAGTGGGAGTCTGACCAGGAGAAATGTCTCAGACAGAAATCAAGGAAAGGGCTTGGGCTGGGGTGAGCTTGAATACCTGGTTAAGGAGTCTAGTCTTTGCTCTTGAGACAAGGGTGCTTTAAACTGTTTTGCTTACTTATCCCTAAAACATTTTTGAAAAATACATATTTAGGTTGCCATCCATTTTCCCCCCCCATAATTTAAAAGCAATTGCAAAGGTCAGCAGCTCTCTCTATGTGGTCCTTTAGGCTGATGGAGGCTTTTTACTCTCTTCTTTCCATAACCTCCAAGGTCACTGTCAGTATTTCCCTCACAGTCTGTTCCTGGACCCCGGAGGATCCCACATGGAAGGTTTTACAGGCCAAGAATGGAATTGGTGCATATCACTTCTGATCGCTTTCTATTGGCCAGACACGGCTACTCCTGACTGTAGGGGAGGCAAGGAAGAAGACAGCAACACAGATTTTGTGGAAGAGCTAGCAGTCCTTGCTACAGAACATAGGCAGAGCATTCGGCATGTTTGCTGACATACAATAAGCACTCAGCATAGTAGCTGCTGCTACTGTTACAATATCGCCATTCTTATTCTTACACATTCAGTCTACAGGCTGGGTTCTATGCACAGATGGATTTGCACTCCCTTTGCTGGAGCTTGTAGGCCCCCAAGGTAGATGCACTTTAGGCAAAGGAGCCCCCAGAGCTTTGGAGCCCAATTAGTAACTAATTAACCTCAGCTAGCAACCCTGCAGATCCAGTTAGTGGGAACACAGGGAACCTGTGTTGTTACTCTCTAATCCCAGTTTCCCACCCAGTTGCAGGTCTATTTCCTGCCTGCCTGCAACAGTGGACTTCCTACCAAACACATACACCACTCCTGCCTGCTTTACGTAAACCCAACTTCTACTTCCCTGTATGTCCCAGGGTGGACTCTGTAATAGCCCAAAGAAAACCAGAGACTTGCCCAAGGATGAGGGGCAAGTTTTTGCCCCTATAGCTGCTATTCTAAGTGACTGACCAATAACTGGAAAAGTTACTCTAGTTTCTTTGAGGAATTCTACGTTTCCGTGCCTCCTGCATATGATATGGGTGGAATGACATGGATTTCAAAGACCCGATCAAACATTGCAAGTCTGCTTTCTTTTCCCCGCCTTTGATACCTGCTAATCTGGGCCCCAAAGTGTTAGAAGTATGAACTCTCCCCCTAGGAACCCTAGTAATCCTGCAATTTGTATTAATACTGTGATATTGTTGAATACTGCACTACTTCAGGGAATTGGTGTTCTATTTTGCCCAGGGAGGACACTAGGAAAAATGTAAACACTGTCTTATTTGCTTCCCCAAACTACCAAGGAAACCATGTGTAATCAATTTTCGCCATCGAGTTACAGCCTTTCTAGAAAATTGGGGCATCCCCTCTCTCAGGCTTAACTCATTCATCCAAAATGGTCCTCACATCTCCATGCCAATTTGTCCTGCAAAAGGTCCTCTCAGTGCTGTGGGGTTGATGTACAGAAAGAATTTAACGTCTTCCAAATCCAACAGGAGAAGCAGGTCATTGTGAGAAAATGAATGACTCCCTCCTGGGCTATGTACGTGCAGGGCGCAAGGATGGTGATCTCCAGGTATGACCTTCCAAGGATGGTGTAGGTGCTCGCCCACAGGCAGGCTCAGCTGGGGTGCGTCCTGCCCCGGGAATGAGTCAGCATGCAAGTAGTTAAGTTGGCAAGCCTTTGGCTTCCTTGGTTAGAGCAGTCAGCCTCCAAGAGTTAACCTGCAGCACTGCTCAGAGGAGCAGGGGCCGAGGATACAGAAGCGTTGGGGACTCTGCCTTGCAGGAGGAATCACATGCGGTTTTGAACAAGCAGCTGCTGCGGCAGGTCTGGGTACGTAGCTTTGCTTTGATTGATAGTGTTTTGTTTTCTCCAGAGAGAACAAAGCAATGGCTGTTCATGTTTGCAAACAAGATCACTTAGACATTGAAAAGAAACCGATATTTATTACGGAAATAAGGAATAGAGATGGAGGGGGTGGGGGAGCAGATTCTCCACACTCAATGTTTCTGATTGCAATAAGCAAATTTTCTTTAATTCTATTTGAATTGCAGTGCCGTGTGGTCAGGTCATTTGAATGTCACAGTTACAGTGGAATTCAAAAGGTATCTTTTGGCTGTTCTTTCTGTAAGTCTTCATCTCTATATTCACAGATTTGGATTTGGTTTGCAGAGTTATTTGATGAATTGGTGAAGTTAAATGGCAGGAATCCATTTTCCTACCCCATTTTGGAAAGCAAGATTCATCACCTTAGGCTTACAGTGCAAACTTCTCTAAATTTACCATACGCCTGAGTGAAAGCAGCAGCATCTTGGATATGTTTGTTTTTTTTGTTTTGTTTTTTTCTTACAACTTGATGGCTTTAGTCTCAGGTGTATGCATTATAACCTGAAATAACCTTTAGAATCCCAGTTCTTTTATTGTCCACTTGACTGGGTCACATGGGCCTTCTCATCCCTTGGGATGCCTTTCTCCATTCTATTGATTAAAAAATATCTGAGATTCAGAGTCGAATAGAACTACCCACCCCCAAAGACGTGGATTTGGTGGAATGTCCGAGGATATTGAGACTTAAGTCAAGTTTGTCTGGATCTCATTCCATCTCCCTCTCAGCACTGCAGTATCATCCACCAGCTAACTGACACTGATGACTTTTTCCATTAGCACCTCCTGCAGGTATAAGACATGAGATGCCACTTGTCAGGTTTAGATCCTACTGCTTGCCAGCTCAGTGATCAAAACTGGTTTTAAATTATCTTGCAATCATCTAAAATAAGTCTGCTCAGTGCCCATAGCTTCTCTTTTACTCACCCAAACTTCTCACCAGTGGGAGACTCCTTTGGGTAAACAAGTTTCTCTTTGAAAAATGCAAACACTGCCTTAAAACTTGGGCAGGCTATTGGTCACAAAGAGCCTCACAATATTAATACTTTCACATTTAATACTTCTTTAAAATCACTCTCCCTGAACTAATGGAGTTTTCTCAGGATGAAGGAAAGGTGGTGAGAATCAGGAATTTGGAACCTGGGTTCTGGAGGCAGAGGGTTGGTGAGAAAAAGAAATCTGGATGGGTGCTACAGTAGTGGTTGAGGAGGAGCCCTGAGACGGGGGTAACTGGGGTGTGAGAGCAGGTTCTAGAAGGCGTTGCACAAGGTGGTGCAGGTGCAGGTGCAGGTGCCTGAAGACTCCCAGGGGCACATGGGCATAGTTAATATCTACAGGAATTAATTTCCAGATCCTCAGCTTAAATTTGAACTGCTTCCCACCTTTTTTTTCCCCCCCCACAAGAGTTCTGCATCAGAAAAGAGAGAAGCAAACTTCTCACTCAGCTAGAATCTCACTGTGCGCATACGATCTAACCATGGTCCCAAGGTGGATAGAAGTCTCCTGGGCATCATACAAAGAGACGATTTCAGACACATTGGTCCAGAGGGAGAACCCAGTGAGAGCAAAGCACACAGAAATGGACCTCATCTCATTTCATCTAGGTTTCAAACTCATGCCTTGTCTCTCTATCTTAGAATAGCAATGGGGTGAGAAGGTTATCGTGAGGACAGGGTGTGTAGGAATACATTTATTGGAAATAAAAATGAAGTTTTCTAACAATAATTATGTTTGGCTGCCTGATTTTATGATGAGTTTGGTTTGCTAATTAGGGTCTGTGGATACTTTTCGTCAATTTAATGAACTGATTCTGATGCTCAAGTTTTTGGCCAAAACATATTTAAAATATGTGTACAAAGTATAAAAAATGATGTAACACAACGTTTGTAAGTAGGTAAGCATATAAAAGCTTTAGATGTCATCTTTAAAAATGTGCAAGGGAGGGGGGGACTGGTTAGCTCAGTTGGTTAGAGCGTGGTGCTGATAACACCAAGGTTGCCGGTTCGATCCCCGCATGGGCCACTGTGAGCTGCACCCTCATTTAAAGAGCCAGCTATGCCATTGTAGCGTGAAAGCGATGTGCAACCAATGACCATGGCTGTTCCCCAATAAAAAGTTTTAAAAGAAAATGTGCGAGGGAGTAGAAAATTCTTTTAGGGGTCTCCTGAGCAAAAGCCTGTGAAGGCCACTGGAGTGCATTATCCTTGGGGCGGGATTAGCCTGTCTGACAGCAAGTGCCTTTGCCCTCAGATCCCCCCAGAGCCTCCTCTTTGTCTTGTGCCTCCTGCATGCCTCTGCTTTCCCCCACAATTCAGGGTCCTGCAGTGTCTGCTGCTCAACCCCCTGTGGTTGGTTTCTTGGATGTATTTGGTGGTTGCCTAGTGATTTGAAAATAGGGCATGCAGTGGCAGGGCAAAGTTTTCTTAAGGCAAGGGTTGAAGAAGGTGAGGTTATATTCGCTGCTGAACTCACCAAGCATGTTTTTTTCCTACATCATTCATTGCTTTATTCATTCAACAGCTGCTTACCCAATCATCTCCTCTTGTGCTAGGTGAAATTGTTAAGAAATTGTCTCTGCCTCCATGTGTGGTCCCAGTCTGGTGGGGGTGGCTGGCATTGATACGGGTGGTAATAATTAAACGTGATCAGTGCTGTAACTCCAGGCAGAAACTGGGTTCTGGGCAAGTGCACAGCAAGATGTAATTGATGCAGGAATCAAAGGGTCACGGAGGGCAGAGAGGAGGCAACTTTTGAGTGGAAATGCTGAAACCTAAGTAAGTGCCCTTAAGAGGAAAACAGAGAAAGGCTATGTTAGGCAAAGGAAAAACTTGGGCCAAGGCCTAAAATGGAAAAGAAGATTCCATTGGGCTGGCTGGGGGAGCAATCATTAGGTTGCTTTTATGGAGCTCTGTGGTGGGAGGAGGGATGAGGACTGGAAGGTGAGGTGGGAAGGTGGGGTGGGCCTCAAAGGACCATGCACACGTGTCCTCTAGAGACCTTCATAAAAGGAGGAAGAGAGAAGGTTGTTGTTCTTGTCTAGTTGGGACTCAGCGTTTCTCCCCCGTCTGGGCCAAGCTCTCTTTGATGCCAGAAAGGCCTTTGTTTCCCCAGCACTGGCCTCTCTGCTTCGAAGGGAAAAGGTGGTCCTTGTTCTCCTGAGACTCTTTATCCAAGTCCTGCCCTGTTGGGGACAAGTTGGGGAGGGGCTCCCTGGGGGCGGGGGTCCAGCTCCTGGCAGCTGAGGGACGATGGCTGCCCTGTCTTCTTGCGTCCATCATTGGGCATTTTTTTTAAAGATTTTTATTGGGGAATTGGGGGGATGGGAACAGTGCTGGGGAATTGGGGGAAGGGAACAGACAAGTTGCTGTCGTTTTGTTCTTCAGTCTAGTTGTGGAGGACGTTGCTTCACTGGCCCAAGTTGGCACCATCATTGCGCTCTTCCCGGGCGAGGCAGCTCAGTCACCGGCTTCTGGACAGCTGCTCACTGTGGCTGCTGGCTGCTCACGCTACATTGGGCATTTTTTGATCACTTATCATGTGTCAGCATGATGTGGTTGCTTCAGTGGGAATCAAAAGATGTGAATTCAAATCCTATGTCTGCAACTTATTAACTCTTTAAACTTCCTTGAGTCTCAGTTTCTTCATTTGTAAAATTGGAATCCTGTGTGTGAACCTTTGGGCTAATGCTGGTGATACTGAGAGGAATAGGATGGGACTCAAACACCAAAATGACTAGTGGAGAGACACACATTCATTAAATAGTAAGTACCAGAATAGAAGAGTGTGTAAAGTTTAACTGGAAGAAATGGGTTAAGCCATTAACTCTGGGGGATTGCTGTTCTGATAATTAACATCTTTTCAGAACTCTGCAATTTGCACAGCAATATCACATACTTCTTCTCTGTATTCCATCCATAATCCTGTGAAGTAGGTTCCTGATCGGAGGGTGAGGACAGGCATGTCCCCATTCCAATCACCTTTGCCAAAAGAAACAGTCCTGTGAAATGATACCTGGAAATCTTGCCTCTTTGGTTAAAGCAAAGATGCCAAGAGGTGGCTCTGAATGTTCTTCCAAATAGGCAGCTTTCCAAAGCCTTTGTGTCATGAGACTTGGGTCAGTCTCTTCATTTCCCCTTCAGAGAAGGAAGTGCCTGCTTCCCTGCTAAGAGACAAGGTCGAGTCAACAGTAGGTGAGAAAAAATGGAGAACATATCCAATCTCTAGTGCACATACACTGTTGAAAGGAAGGATAGGAATCAAACTAATCTGGGCCACTTCTTGGAGTTGGCATCAGAAGTTCTCCTGGCATCAGGGTGGAATGGGTACTCTCGAAAAAACTGACAATAGAAAGTTTGAGATGGCCAGTTATCCATCGCCAGCATCATGACTCCAAAACAGTAGTACAAGAACCACCCCATAATACTGGATTTGAATGTCCAGAGGTCACCCTAAAGAGATGGAACTCTGACACCCAGGCTCCCTGCAGCAAGGGACAGTTTTGTTGTGACTCTAATTTGTACTACTCAGCTATCTTCCCATTCAGCATGTAGAAATTTGTCCCATATTTCCCCCAAAAGGTGGGGGTTCAATAACATTTGTACCCAAGATTCATGAGGCTTTTCATCATACCTTCCTGTGAATAGCTTCAATGACAATAAGACACTTGCAGAGAAAGAAAGAAGATGGTCAGAGGTTAGTCACCCCCAGGTTAATGCAGCTGCTGAAGCCACAATGGGGGAGTGCAGAGAATGCACTGGTGACCATGAGTGAGAATTTTCATGCCTGCTCAGGAGGGTAGCATGAGGTTCTTGGGATTCTGCCCAGAAGAGAGGTCCCTACGGGCCTCAAAATCTTCTGGAATTGTTTTCAATATTGTTTTTATTGCTACTTACATTTCCTGATTGCTCTTCCAGGCTAACCTGGTCTGGGAAGAGCAGCTGACATTTAAA